GCAGAGAGGCAGGCAGAGATGGAGGGGGAAGCAGGCCCCTCTGGCTGAGCAGAGAGCCCAATGTGGGGCTTGATCCAGGACCCCGAGATCATGACCTGAGCCAAAAGCAGAGGCTTTAACCCACTGAGCTACCCGGGTACCCCCCTTTATTCTTGATAAATAATAGTTGTTATTACTGCCTGTCAGAATATAAGCTCCGCAAAGGCAGCATTTTTGTTCCTATTGTTTATCGATATATTCCCAATACTTAGGACAATGCCTGCCACATGGGAATGCTCAATAAATATTTTTTAAATGTTGAGTGAGTTATTACTTAGACTTCTTCCAGCTCTTCCTTTTATGAAGATATGAACCTACACAAGAGAAACTGGACAAAATACTTTAGATGTTTTTTTGTGTTACTATAATACCTTTGTCCAAAGAACCCTTTTGGGGCACCTGTGTGGCTCAGTTGGTTGAGTATCTGCCTTTGGTTCAGGTCAGGATCCCAGGGTCCTGGGATCAAGCCCCGCATTGGGCTCTCTGCTCAGTGGGGAGCCTGCTTCTCCTTCTCTCTCTCTCTGTGCTCTCTCTCTCTCAAATAAATAAATAAAATCTTAAAAAAATAAAGAGCCCTTTTTCTTCTTGCCTAGATATTATCATTCCCAGAAAAACACAAGAAACTTGTAATACTTAGCTATATGAAGTCTCGTCTCCCTAATCAGACTGTAACTTGGAACACAGAGAATCAATCTTTCTTTTTTCTTCTTTCTCCTCCTCCTCTTCCTCCTCCTCCTCCTCCTTCTTCTTCAAAATAAACTCTACCCCCAACATGGAACTTGAACTCGGGATCCCAAGCTCAAGAACCACATGCTCTACCAACTAAAACAGCTGGGTGTTGTGGGCATGTTTCTGGTTTACTTTTTGAGGTTACATTTTTGTTCATCTTATTACTTAGTGCATATTACTTATCTGATTCTTCCACTGAACTTGTGAGTTAACACATTGACCGGATCACAGTAGATATCTAATAAGTTTTCACTGAGATAAGGACCCAAGAGAAGAAGGGTTTGGTCAGGAGTTCCCATCTCCACATAGAATCAACCCACTGGGGATGAAGAGCCAATTATGTTGAGAGCCATATGTCCCTTCCTAAAGCATCCTCTGCCTCTACATATGGAACTTTATGAGGTCCTGAGCACCTCCTGTGCTGCATTGTTCAGACTTGAGCGAGATAGTCCAGGGGAATAAATATTAGGAGTATTATAACGATGTTTACTATTAAATTCAATTAAAGTCAATTAATTATTAATAGTCAATACCATTAAAGTCAATTAAAGCTTATTCAGGACACTCTTCTTGAGAGTATTCTATGAGCCAGGCACTGTGCTGGGTACTGGTAAGGACGTGGGAGACAATGCAGAAAGAAAGAACACATGAAGGGCCCTAGTCCTAAGAAGCAAGTGATCCAGCAGGTTCTGGCTCATAGAGACAGTCGTATGTACAGTAGCTATAATAATAGTCATAGTTTACATTATTAAAAGCCATCACAGATACTATTTTATTTTTATTTATTTTTATTTATATTTTTATTTGTTTATGTATTTGACAGACAGAGATCACAAGTAGGCAGAGAAGCAGGAGGGGGTAGGGGAGGAAGCAGGCTCCCAGGTGAAGCAGAGAGCCCAATGAGGGGCTCAATCCCAGGACCCTGGGATCATGACCTGAGCCAAAGGAAGAGGCTTTAACTCACTGAGCCACCCAGGTGCCTCAGGCATATTTTAAAAGCTTTACATGTATGATCTAACTTTATCCTCATAATAGCTGTAAGAGTTAGATATTCTCATTATCTCCATCGGACAGAGAGGGAAGCTGAGGTGTAGAGAGGTTAAAGAATTTGCCCCACTTCACAGAGTTGTGAAAGTAGACTCGACATTCAAACATGGGCAAGCTGATTCCAACACCTGTGCTCCTATTTTCTTATTAATTAGGAAAATAAATTGAAAGCAAAGATTAGTCTCTCTTCTACTTTGGTTTTTTTTTTCTGCTCTAGTTTCTTTTTAAAAAATATTTTATTTTATTTTTTAAGACATCATTCTTTAAAAATATTTTATTTATTTATTTGACAGAGAGACACAACAAGAAAGGGAACACAGGCAGGCAGAGTGGAAGGGGGAGAAGCAGGCCTCCCACTGGCAGGGAGCCCCATGCAGGTCTTGACGGGGGGCTCTATCCCAGGACCCTGGGATCATGACCTGAGCCAAAGGCAGACATTTAATGACTAAGCTGCCCAAGCACCCCAGAATTTTATTTTTTTAAAATATCTTTTATTTTTAAGTTATCTCTACACCCAATGTGGGCCTGCTACCCACAACCTGGAGATAAACAGTCGGATGCTTTACTGACTGAGCCAGCCAGGTGCCCCTACTCTGGTTTCCTTTGAATCAGAAAATATCATCTCCTCTTTCCTCATCTTCTGTGGCCAAATGAATAGTTATATCCATTTTTCTGAAAGGGAGCTTGAGATACTTGCTCTACTCTCACAGAGTCGTACTGCTGGAAATGCCCTCTTTTTGGCATTCAAGAGAATCCCTTCACTTGTTTCAAGTGTGTCAGCATCACTGAAGGGTTGAGAAGAATTAGGTTTTCTGGGAAGGACTTGGAGGTGGGAAGTCAAGAAGGCATTCTCAAAGCTGGGAGCTGGGAGGTAGGAAAAGCTTGGCCTTATTCAGCACCGTGGACAGGGCTCCCGGCACCTCAGGACCTTGGACAGAGAGACTGGTCACGTTTGCCGAGGAAACAACTATTAGTGAGCGCACCAAGTGAAACCAAACCGCTAAACTCCTTTTTCCATCTTTTCAGCCAGACCTCAGTCACCTGCTCTTGGATCTTAACGACAGAGATGCAGGGAGTGCATTATATTTTAAAGGCGCTAGTAATGAAGGGAGATAAGATTCTAAGGTGGGGAGGATTATATAAATACAAATGGCTTTGGCTGATGCAAGGTTCTCAGTTGGGAGTGGGGCACTGCTAATGACATTTGTTAATCATATGTATTTTTTAGGCGGAGTAGCAAAGGGCCGCGGTTGTCCTCTTTATCACCCAAAGTCCAATTCACCATCCCTTACACTCAAGTTTTAGTCTCTTGAAGAGCATTCCATGTAGAAAAGAGAAAAAATAATCTCTCCACAACCCCTTGCTCTTCTCTTTCCTTTCCCTACCCCCACTCATTCCCTCTCTTTCTCAAATACACATGTGGGGGCGCGCGCGCGCGCACACACACACACACACACGCACACACGCACACACAGAGGCTCAGGGTGGGAAGCGCGAGAGGTTCTGCACACTTGCTGGAGAAGACTGAATTCCGAGCAAGCGGATGCCCCCGAAAGCAGGCTCTGTCTCTTTAAATGGGTTGTAGCAGTGGGGGAGGGGAACTGGCCGGAGCTGGCATTGTCCAGTTTGAACTGAGCACCGGAAGTGAAGGGGCAGGGCCAGGGCCGTGCACTGAGCCCCCGGCCATTGTCCATCTCCGACCAGGGCACTAGCCACCCCCTTGACCAACCCTCTTTATCTCTTAGAAAGGGAGGCTACCTCTTCAAGTAAGGAGATCCTATAATTCAGTTCCCCCACCAACCCCACTCCTTGGGGAGGGAAGCGCACTTTAAGGTGGGACTCTGAAAAGAGGAGAGTCTGGGAACCCAAGAGTGTCCGGAGTACTGGAAGAAATGCCTCCATCCACCTACCCACCTAGTCTCTCTCCCAGCAACGGATAGGGACGCGTTTGGGATGGAGACAGGATGAGAACAGCTGGAGGAGGGAGGAACACTTTTTGGATTCCTCCTGCTCACCCAGGAAGCACCACGTGGAGTCAGTTTTAGACACAGATTTGTAAGGAAAGGATTTTTTACACAGAATCAATTAGGAGCACTTTGAGAGATCTAAAGAAACAGTCGAAACTCAGGGAGACAGAGACATTCAGTGAGTCAGAGACAGCCCCTTGCGAGGAAGCGCCTTGGTCAGGACTGGAGATCAGCCCTGCTGCGTCTCCAGCCCCCGCCCCCCCCCCCCCCCCCCCCCCCCCCCCCCCCCCCCC